AGATTGATCCGTTGGTCACTTAAACTTCAAGATTACCTAATTATAAAACATTCCCAGGATAAAGTAAACACAGTGGCTGATGCACTATCAGAGCTAAAGCTAGATGGTGAAGGCAATACACTAAAATGCGCTATGCTGACATCCAAAATACTTGACTCACGGGAGACAATTATTGAAGAATTGAAAAGGGATCCCAAATTCAAAAATATTTATTTCACCTAAAGGATCCGGATCATTTTGAACACCCAGACATTGCAGCAATACGAAATAGAGCCGAAAATTACGAAGTCATTGACAATCTCTTATTTTATTTCAAAGTCTACAAATCAAAATTATGAACTCAGATCGGTTATCGCAGCGACGGGAAGGTTACACTTCATAAATGAACTACATGATTCGCCCATGTCTGTCCACCTGAGCATCAGGAACACAGTACAACGTGTTCGTGAGCTGGTGTATTTTTCTCAGTTACAGAAGTTCGTAACTGAGTATGTCAGATCCTGTCATACTTGCCAGTTAAATAATGATGTTAACTATAGCCCGGCCGGCTACTTAAAAATATTTTTAAAAAATCCCGTAAAGAATAAGCCGGGATCAACTTCTTGGGTTCATTTCCGCACAGCGAAATAACTAAAAATCGTTATTTACTCCTTATTGCAGATCATTTTTGTAAAGGCGTTGATTCGTTTTTAATAAATATGTCTTAAAATACGGAGCACCTTTAAAATTAATTTCCCACAATGATGAACAGTTTGTATTCCAAATATTGAATTCCTTAATTTTAATCTTGTATTTTGTTTAAAAGTGTACTTAATTATTTTAAAATTGGAATTTTTTCATATGAAATACTCGTATATGTCTCTAACTGTTTGACTCTAGGAATTATGAGCAAGTTTTGTATTTTTTTAATTCCAGTTTCGGTTAAAAATTGTCTACGTAATTTTATAAGATCTACCTCTTCTTGTCCACATAAACTAATGAAGATCCTACTAATGAACCTAGCGACTTCTCCCATAGGCGTGAAAGAATACCACCACAGAAGAAGGGTGAAAATAACCCTTCATTAATTTCCACGTACATCGTGCTTTACAATAATACTGAGAACTTGAGGTGGAACTAAATCTAAAAGGAATAGTGCTGGTTTAGCACTTTAAGTTCCGGCTAATCTATATTGACTTGAGAAAAACCTAACAGCCGTTATAATTATTCAAATTGCCAAAAAAGGCGTACCAGCGTAACAGCAATGTCAGAAACGAAACGTACGCTGGCTAGTGGATACACGCTCTGAGCTAAACTCATAGATTCACCCGTTTAAATACTCATTTCACATCCTGGATGAGAAATGCGAGGGGAGGTTGAGGAGTTCAGGAAAGATAACAAAAATTTGAATAATAAGTTAAATAACTAAGGGAAGCCGTATAATTTAAATTGCTTTATTGGATTTTGATTTATATACTTAAGCTGCGTCGGAGAGGACTTCAAAATTTTCGGATGAACTGTTATAATTAAATACTTTAGAATCGATCATCAGCTAAGTTTGGATGCAGAAACGCAGTAGTTATCAAGTGCAATTGAGTCTGATGTATCCTCCTCTTGATAGCGTGATATTAGATTTGATTAAATTATTTTTTCATGGTTTTTATCATCTTCGAGATTTTAGTTTTACATTTGTTTGATTCTTATTTTACATAATTATAGGGTATTTTGAAATTTATTAATATTGAATTTCACTTCTTTTGAGTCTTTGTGTAAAATTGGTTCTAAATTTCTTACTTTATATATATATAATATTTTATATATTATATAATATATATAATATATAAAATAGTTTACCTTATTTTTGACCTTACGATCCTCATAACTAGCTCAATTACGCTTAATTACGTAGCGCCACTTTCCTGATCAGAGGTTTTTCAGCTTCTTTTCCCTCTGATAATAACAATTGTTCAAGATTGCTCATACTTTTGAACAGCAACTTCAGTTTCTCAAATTTATTTTTTCATCCCTATTAATTAGCATCTTCAACACATTATAAAATATCACATTTGCTTATCACATTATAAAATGCAACACTTGGGAGATATTACACACTGTCAGGATACATAAATTTCGCTCAGTTCTATGCTTTCATTGGCACATGCACCGGTTCCTGTACCTCTCTCAATTTCAAATAGGCCCTTTATTTATTTATTTATTTTTAAAACCTTTTTCTCTCTTCCTCTAACGAATTTAATATTGGCCTTTTTTTAACGTCCCAGCTTTGTTATCCGGCCTTTCAAATTTGTATAAAAGGGTGTAGCACTTTTCCCTTTGAAATGCCAAACTGCCTTCTATCAATATGCCTTTCTTTCGCACCTAAGCTTGATTTTTCGCGCTGCAAGTAGAAAGACTTAGCGGATACAGAACAAGACATCTGCCTACTTACTTTGTCTGTCTGATTACGCAGCAAGGGGAGGCCATGTTTATGACATCAAAACATTGGTGTACGACTATGAAATGTACTTGTTTCTAGGATGTTCCATGCATGCATTTTTAATTTAAAATGTTTATGAATGAAGTTTAGTTCGGTTGTTAACTTTTTGTTTCAAAGTAATACAAATGATATCTATAATTTACCAAATACAGGAAATTATTAAGAAATAGTGTGAAATCTAAATGTTTATGTATAGCTAATACTGTTACTGTCCAGTATTTCCTTTGAAACATATAGTTGTGATTTATTTACAGTATTATGGTGATTAATAAAGAATCATTTCGTAAAAAAAGTTTCAGAAATAGGGAAGTTATTTTGTTTCAGTATGCTTTAAACTTAAGCTTTGAGTTCTAATATACTAAAGCTGAAACTCACATATTTTTTAATATTCATATTAACCACATATGTTCAGTAAGTTACAAATATTACAACAAAGTAGATATGTGTAGATTTAAGTACTTCATTTTATACTTGTTTCACATTTATGAATTTCGATTAAAGAAATGAAATTCAATTTCAATTAAAGAAATTAAATGTATAAGTTCTTGGATATATTTTTCCAAATACTACGTACTTTTATCGTTATATTGAACAGAAATTTGTAAGTTTTAGGCATAGGCTTATTTTATTTATATTGTTACGTAATTTCTCTTTCTTCTGACACCAGCTTTTGCCTTATTTTCTTACTTCACGTTCGTACAGGGTTCGTAGATTTGGAGTGAATAACGACGACACTTGATGAAGTATCGAAACACATTTTATTAATCAGTATTGTCAGGACAGCTCCAAGTTCGAATCCCACATCTGACACCAATTGTTGCGCTTTTTTATTCTTCTGACACCAGTTGCTACATTATTTAGAATTATTGCGTTTTTGTTTTCTGACACCAGTTGTTACGTTATTTTCCTCCTTCACGTTCGTACGGAGTTTGTAGATTTGGAGTGAATAACGACGGTGTATCGAAACACACTTTATTTAGCCAATATTGATCAGGACAGCTCCAAAACACGTTTCTACAGTCGTCGATGAACTACCATGAACACGCTGGAAAAATCAGCGACACAGCCTTCACACTGTCAGGCGAATAACGGTGGAGACAAGCTTCCTGCAAAGCACCCGACTCTACTTTCCGGAGTACAGCTCCCGACTCTGCTTGGTCGTTGTCGGAAGTCCACGTACTCTCGAGACTGTCCACGCTACAAATCGCGATGCATTCGACGACACACAGAGCACAGCTCCTGACTCTCGGATCAGTCGTTTCCGGAGCTCAACACGCTCTCTCGACGATGCACTAACTGTGATGCTCTACGAGACTCTTTCGGTGAACTCGACGACCCACTCGGCACTCGCTGCCCGGCTGTCAACTCGAGCCACTCCGCAGGGATTGACTCGGTAGACGAAACACACTCACTCTCGATGAGAAACATACTTCCTGACTGCAGAGGAACAGCGATATTAATTATAAAGAGAAGCAGAAAAATATGTTTAAGATAATTTAATTACTTTACTTTTTTTAATGTCTGGAATTAATACACGACACGGTGATATTTTTTAAACATGTTTACTAAATTTAATGAAAAATAAATCTCAGGAATCTTTTTATACTTTCTCTTCGTGCATGCATACACAGCGCAATATCGCTTAAAACATTTAAAGTCACTTAAAAGATTTAAAAAACTTAATTTATTTGACAAGTCATAATGGTGGAAGAAATATGACAGCCAAGGGTTCAATTTCTGAGTTGAGACCTTTCTTCTTCTATTCTAGCCTCCTTGCATAATCGAGAACCTTGAAAAAATAATTAATGAGTTTGCTTCCTTAACAGTCAGAAAACATAGAATTTTGTAATCCAAGTGTAAAAATAAAGTACACTGAATAACTTGCTACTAAGCATTTACCTTAATTATATTTCTTTTGATTAAAGTGTACAAAGCTACTTAAATTATTGAGAAAATCAACCATTAACTAGGAATAAAGTGGTCACGGTTGGGAGATGTAATAAAAGGGGTCCCGGTTATCACCTGTTGCCCCTAGGTACCCAGAGTCTCTAGTTACGGCCTGAGTGAACCACTTGATATATATTAATAACAGTAATAACAGAAACATTGGCTACTGAAGAAAATGCATCAAGTAACAAAAATTCCAATATTCTTTTGAATAATTTAACTTAAAATAACTCCAGATTATCAAAAAATCGGATGATGTTTGCGTTGTATCCATTCTTCGAAAACAGTTCTTATTAATATTTTTCTTTCTCTCACGAGGTTTGCGGACATAACAATTGGAAAAGATAAAGAAAATATTGGAAGTAAGAATTAATTTTTTAAATGACTATTTCCAGTTTAAAATTCAATTATGTTTCAAGTTTTGTTCAAACAACATATAATGAAAAGGTAAAGGTACCATCTACAGCGTGCAAATTTATTTATTTTTTCCTTCTCCATTCGCTTTCCAAATTTACTCTCTCAATTTATGACTTTAGTGCAGAGTAAGAAGATGAGGTCGCTACTGACCAATATGGCCTTCAATGTGCGATTAAGAACGGGCGGAAATGCCACTAAAATGTTATCGAGCAATTCTGAGATTCAGTTTGGAACAGTTAAAGTTGCTACGCACTGCAGCGAGGCTTTTTCTAATATGAAAGTAGCTTCTCGCATATTTCGTCCATCCCAGCTACATGTGTATAATGGCCTCCGCGGAGAGCTGTGTAAAGTGCCGGAAGAATTAAACGTCACACGTGCCCTTAAGATGGCATCTAAGAAACAAGGGTGCAGTGTTTGAATACATAGGTTCATTGTGCTGCTCGTGCTTGGGTGTAAAATGTGGAAATATGGTTTATGTTTATATCTGCATAGACGCTTCGGCAAATGAACGGCGTACCTAAATATCGAGTGTTGCGCTGTTTCATTTGTTATTTTCGGTGTAAAACACTGATAGCCAATGGCTAATGCAAGCTATGGAGGTTATGCTGGATACTGGTTAACGGTAACACCCCTAAATCATCCTCGCGATGGTTGTGGCACAAGCAGTGATGATCTAAGTAGTGACTGGGAAGCCGAAGAAACTCGTGAAGTTCAGAAGGTAAATTTTTATTATGTCATGTTCTGTTTTATATAAATACGTAGAGTAAGCTATAAGAATATAAAGTCGATAGTGCATTTTTTTTACTTAATAATGTACTTCTAATGCATTGTTCCCAGTTTTGATCGGTGACATTATTATAAATATCAGAAATGCATCCGAGAGCTATTAAAATGATATGCATGGGAACAGTTATTTGCAATAACATGAAATCTACTCAAGAAAAAATGGTATTTAATTCTTATAGCGTATTAAACTGTATTCCGCCTTTACTACTGCTCATTAAAATGAACGTAAAATTAATTCAAAAATATTTGCACACTTATATGATAACAAGTCTGATGTGCTAAATTATTTCTGAAACAAGATTTATGTTTTAATGCTTATGCAGTTGTAGGATTGATGAAAGTGTTCTGCAATGAAGATTTAAGTGTAATAAAGGGTTTTTTTTTTAATATGTTTCTTTTCGCTGGAAGAACATAATTTTAATTATATTTGATCATTCCACGACAGTTCTAATGTAGTTTTACTTAGATTTCTTAAAATGTAAACACATAAAAATAATGACTCAGTGCTCTTTACTGTCACCATGTAATGACTCGTGTGTATTGATTATTTCTGCAAATAACATTTGTTTATGTGATGTTTCTTTAAAGAACATTTGTTTATGTAATGTTATCTATGTATAGATTATTACAATATACAAATAAATTTTGATGTATATAATATTGGATGTGCAATTATATGTTACTACATCTAACATCTGATTTTCTGATCGTAACGTTCTCAAGTATTTATTTCCATAATCATTTTCTTTTATGTGTAGTGATAACCTATAAAATTAAAACATTCGACTTTTATTGTGTTGGAAATCTATAGATCAGTAATATAAAGGTGTCTATAGAAAAACTGCCAAGATTTCTGTTTCTGTATGCGATTTAGAGCCGACTGCGATATCAAAGGGCCCGGGTTCGAATCTTGGAGAGGGCATGGTTGTAAACTGACCGTCCCTTCATAGGAGGCAAAGGTGACCCACCTGCCTGTATAATAAAATGACCTCCACTTCTGACCTTAGTAGTCGCCAAGCCAAAGAACGTGTATGTACATACTTAGTACATATTCTTTGGCCATGCATGCCGAAGTCTGCTGAGAGCCCGCATTTGGGGAGGGGGCTGTGATTTAGAATGGTATGTTCCATTCTTTGCTTACCTCTGAATTGGCAGAACGAACCAAATTATTATCTCCTCCTCTGAAGTTGAGCGCCAAATCACGGAGATTTACAGCAGCGCCACCACCAACAGCAAATTTTCGTACAATTTTTCCAAACTTTTATTTAAAATAAACAGGAAATATGTTCCTTTTGTATAAAGCAAGATGTTGAGAGATTGAAAATAGTTTTACTAAGAGACTTAGGTTGAAAATAAGTTTATTCAATAAATGTACTTTGTTTGAAATAGATTGCGTTAAAGCCCGCAAGTGCCACCTTAAGGGAGGGATATCGTCATGGAAGACTTTTAAAGAGAAACTGAACCATATGTACGTTACGCAAGGGGGGGGGAAAGATCACGAAAATACTTTTAGTTAGGATAGTAGAAAGTCACATAGTATTTCTGATAATAACCTTCCCCCTCTTGTTAAAATCTGAATGTCTTGTACTGAAATAATTAAAATTTATTTATGGCATATGTAAAGCATGTTTACTCTAAGAACACGAGAACATCTGGTCGATAAATTTTCGTCAGAATTGTCTAACTGTACCAAATAATGTTTACTTTTGTAATTACCGAAAACATATGATCTTTCCTAATTTGATGAGTTGAAATGAAAACCGGATATTGAAAGATGGGGGAAAGTGCAAAATCTCTCGCTGCTTGGCGCGTTTTTAAGAATTGCACATACTCGGTATCTATGTACACATCGGCCTATTTTCACTTAAAAAAATATCCCCAGAATTGCACAAAAATGTGATTGCGCCCTCCCTCTACTTTATTCATATACACATCGACCTATTTTCGCTTAAAAAGGTCAAAGAAATTGACAAAAATCCAATTCTTCTTTCTCTTGTAAAAAGCGCCAAACAAATAAGTGGACGATTTTGCGCTTTACCCGAAGGGGGAAAGATGTACTGAAATAATTAAAATGTGATTTATTTATACCATAAATAAAGCTTGTGGACGTAGTGTACAAAACAGCTGAGCACACGAGAACATCTGGTCAATAAATTTTCGCCAATTTCCAATCTCTACAAATAATTTTTTCTTATGTAATTATTATAAACTTGTGTACCTTCTCGCAATGCTTGGCGATTATCGCCCCAACCGTGCCAAACGTCATTTCATGAAACCTGCTAAATGCCGGTAATGGGAGTTCGCAAAGATTATTTTTTTCCAAATACAGGAAAATTTATGTATCTTTATGTAATTTTGATGCTTTTGAAATGAAAGAAAAAGAAACAATAAAAATTTACAATTCATTCATGTGAATCATGACTATAGCAAAGATTAAATCCTCAAAAATTTTACCTGTGAGAATCTGCATGAGAATGCAGACCTGCATAGCTAATCATTTTAGAACAGAGGTTTAATGTATAACAATTAAGTTTTAATATTTTATGTCAAATTAAAAAAATATTCAGGCACTGTGTTTTAATAGACATATTTATGTCATGTATACCCCGAAGTCAAATATATCATTCAAGTTTTTAGCTAACTTTGTCCCTAAGTAATTTATGTAACCCATGTGACTTGAAGTTTTTTTACTTTTATTTTGAGTTGTTAGCTTTTTGAAAGAATTAGAATGTTAAAAATTATATTAATTATTTTTTTTCTCGATTTTGTACTCATGCAAACTAGGTTAATTACATATGGTGTAAACATGACATGAGCCCTTGACAAAATTTGTAGAGTCGATTAGTTAAAAAAAAAAGGAAATATTAAAAATCAACTGTGTTCTTGCTGGGATTCTGTCATGGATCTTCCAAGTGCTAACTGGTTGTGCAAGCGACGTATATCATGAGAGCACATGTTGTTAGGAACGTGATAATTCCTTCTGTTTGTTCCTGATTGATATTATTGGGAAGAGGCATGGGACATGCTTGACCAGATTTGACAATGTGTTTCATCAAATTTTAGTTTAAGCATGACTGAAGTAATTATTAGATTTTTTGAAGCCAAAAAATGTAAGAAATCAGTTGTGGTCTCTCAGAGGTAAAATATAACTAAACTCATTATTTTATTACAAACACTTTAAAAAATATTAAGTTAATTTTTTTTAAAGTTAATTTTAAAATAATAATAATAAAATTAAATTTTAGAGCTTTAACTTCTTAGTGCTTTTGTTTTTCAAAGCTTCTTAGGATAAAAAAAAAAAAAAAAAATGTTATTGATGGTAAGGTTTTGAAAACTTGAAAGCTTCATAATGTGTAACACAATTGAGTTTCTAGAACCCATATAAAGTAGCTTGCTTTAGTGTTGCAATGGAGAAGTATTATCAGGCTTGAGTAATTATTTGTTGAGAGTAGTAGCTATGGTAATATTGAATGTATCAAAAAATGTGGCTACAAGCTTCATTTCTTGGAATATTAATCTTTCTCATATACTTTCAGTTTATGAATTTCTGAAAATGAGGTAGAAAATTTTCTCAGGACATTTTTCATGTTAACTTATGTAAAAATAGCACCTGACTTTTTATATGACTTCCATCAAATAAAAATTTTGATTATTAAATTAATTATAAATGAGAAGTATCTTTAGACAAAATTTGCAAAAATATGCAAAACTCGTATATATTTTATGGCTAAAAATTTAATAACAAATAGTATTTTACCCAATCCCGAACTGTAAATTGCTAATAAACAACTTTTATTTTATGCAGTATTCTTTAAATTTGTTTTGAATGTATTGATAATAGACATGGAAAAATGGTTAAGTCAATAAATTCATTTTCAAATAAAATTTTGCATATAAATATATGGAAATTTTTGCTTATTAGATCTTAATAAATATTTTGTTAACTAGAATTTTTATTCTATGGAGAATATACAAAAAGATTTTATTTTTGTAGAACCTTTCTATCTTACCGAGAGAAGAGTGGATAAGCTTTACAAATGCATGGGCTGCTTGGGAGGGGGATGTAATTTTCTAATGTAGCAAATAAGAGCTAGTTTTCTTAAAAATTCCTGTATGATGGCTTTCATATATATCTGATATTGTAAAAGTTAACTGCTCATCAGCATAACAAAGTTAATAATTTAAAAAGTTCCTTTGTGTGGACTTTTGCTGCAAGTGTAATTTTATGCACTTACTGTAAAAAACATGTCATAAATAAATAGGTTTCTAATATCTCATAACAGGTTGATTACAGGTTTCTAACTCTACTTCTTGTGTATACTATTGTTCTGCAGATTGCAAAATTTTCTGTTTTCCCTTCTGTGTATGTAGTTAGTTAGTTTTGTTCAAATGCTTTAATATTTTTATGTTAATACCATTTTATATTCAGAGAAGATATATAGAAATGATACTGATATTTTAAAAGTTGAAATTCTTTTTTAATTGCATTTTAATTTTATTCAGCAGTAAAAGTGTAAAGTAATGAATTGGCATCAATAACTTATTTTTATTTAAGAGAAATGATTATATGATATTTTAGTATACTTTTTTTGATTCTTTGAAATCTCTTTCTTTTTAAGATTAGATTACAGTATGAAATTTTCATATTGTTAGTTTTGTTCTTGTATAGTCTCAAATTATTGTTAAGCCAATGAAGGGTTAGAAGGAAAGAGCTTATTTCTTCAAAATCTACAGAGTTGTCTTCTGAAAATACTATCTTATAATTTACATATACATTTGCTATGTTATTTGATGTTGATATTAATTTTATGCCTTTTATAATATCCTTATCATTCTTCCTTGATTATATTTGTCCTTCCTGAGAGTTAAATAAAAATATTTGCAAAATCCATCCATGTATAATTGGTATACTTGCATTTCACAATAAATGTT